GGAGCATTATCATTGGCATCCAACACCAGGATCAATAAGGAAACAGATGCAGTAAATTCAGGTTTCCCTCCATCAGTTGCAATCAGCAACAATTTAAGCTGAGGATTTTCTTCGCGATCTAATAATTTTCTCAGAACAAGCACTGGGAATTTGCCTTTGTCCTTTTTGTTCATAGTCTCAAGAATGAAAAATTCGTTTGAACTGAGTTTGTAAGTAAGCATTGCATTCTCTCCAACATCTGCATCTGAAGCTCCTTCTAGTGGAAATCGAGAGTCAAGCAGTCTAGTTTCTGGTATCAAGATTTTTTGTTCTGTTACAGAGAACATTGGAGGGTTGTCGTTAATGTCCTTCACCTCCACCTCCACGTGGAACACCTGCAGCGGCCTGTCCACGATCACCTCCAGGTGCAGGCTGCACTCCGCGCTGCGCCCGCACAGCTCCTCCCGGTCGATCCGACCATTCACAAACAAAATGCCATTCTGCAGATTTACCTCCAGAAGGTCCCCGCGGCCCTTGGACGCCACCCGGAACAGGCGCGGCACCAGTTCTGTCAGCTCCAGCCCCAGGTCCTGCGCGATGCGACCCACAAAGGTGCCGTGTTTGGCCTCCTCGGGGACCGAGTAGTGGAGCTGGCCGCTCCCTGCCTCCCAGATTGCGGGGAGCAGAAGCCAGAGCAGCAGACGCCAGGCTCCGCGACCGCTGGATATGTAGACCAATAGCCTACCTTTGTCTTGCTTTACAAATCCATGAATACTCCGTCTGGAACGCACACACGCACTACCATTTCCTGCTCGGTTCTTTATTTCCATTTTCTTACCGGGATGGCTGAAATCTCACTATATATCTACTTCCTGGTCCTTAAAACCCAGAGGATTACTGCTTTGTTCCTAAAAGCTACATATTTTATGGACAACAGCGACATCCGGTGGCTACATTTGTAAGTATGCTATACCATGAGTTTAATAACTTTCATTCATACCTTTTAGTTCTATTTTTACGGATTTTTATCCCCATGAACACTTAAAAAATAAAACTTGTATTGTATCTCTTTAGTATATAGTAAGTTCTGTAGAGCCAAAGTGAAAATTTTTCTTTAATGTAGTACCTGAGAAGTGATTCTTTCCTTAACCTTATTTTTTATTTTTCAAACACCTTAGTAGTTGCATGCATACTGAGTGTAATAGGATTTTATTTGATGACAAGCATAAGTACCTTCAAGTTATAACACTGAGTTACTGCTCTTTGTGATTGAGATTCGATAAACTTTTAGGATAATTTCAAGTATTTTTCCCTCTGAAATATATGTAACTCCTAAGTGCCAGTCAACAGCAGCATGTAGATAATTGAGTTTCAGCACCAGCTATTTCTCCACTTAGATTGTTATAACCTTTTTTTATTAACCATGTGAGTGGTAACTTCCAGGTGTTATAGTTTCCACTTTTATAACACTGGTAGAATTATATGATGGGTGGACTGTGACATCTGTAAGTGCTTTGGATAATAGTTTAAAGAGAATGAACATTTCAAACATGAGAATTATTCTCAGACCTCAGTTTGTGCACATGAGTTCTCACAATGTTCACAAACAAATTTGACTTATCAGGGAAAATATTACCTTTAGAATGTTGTATTTTCCAATGTTTTGCTATGACACTGATAGAGAAGGCTGGTTCTTGTCTTTAAGGAAGTATAGAAGTGCTCTCATTGATATAACAATGTACATTGAGGAGAAAGTTCAGTTTATGATATCTTACAGGGGCAAAAACTATCTTAATTATGATTCTAAATAAAGCAGTTCACAATTTTATGACTTCTACTTTTAGAGCCAAGTAGTTTTGTGCTATTATGTTCAATATTTTCAAGTACAGAGAAGCTATAGTTCTGGTATTTATCTAATATTTTTATATAATAAAATGTGATCAGGTCTTTTCATCACTGCCTACAATGAAAAGTATTTTTAGTGAGCACAAATTGCTCATGACTGTAATCCTAGCTACTCAGAAGGCTTAGATCTGAGGATTTGTGGTTTGAAGCCAGCCTGGGCAGAAAAGTCTGTGAGACTCATCTCCAAAACCAGTAAAAAACTGGAAGTAGCACTGTAGCTCAAAGTGGTAGAACACTAGCCTTGAGCAAAAGCTTTCAGGGATAGTGCCCAGGCTCTGGGTTCAACCTCCACAACCAACAAAAAAGTATTTGTTTTTCTTTTTCAAAACTTGGAATCCAATATTCATGAGCCAAAATTATACACTAATGTCTATGTGGCTAAAACTTTGAATTCTCTCTTTCAAAGAGAGGGAAATTTAATTTAAAACTTTGGTCCTATATAAAGTTAATTTGTAAATTTTAACAATATAGTTGTTAAAATATATTTCTAAATATATATATATTATTTCAAACTATTTCAGTCATTACAAAATAAATGACAGAGCACAATATTTACAAAATGAACATGAATGGGAGCTAGTTAGTGAAACCTGGCATATAATTACTCTTTCTATAAATTATAAGTAATTTTCTATAGCTCTTTAATCTTTTAGAATGAGTTCAATGTCAAAACCATTTACATTCTGATTTTAGGTGTTGCATTTTTTTATAAAGTGTAAATTAAAATGTAATGAATTGCTTTTCCATCTACAATACTGGTATTTAATTTGAATTCTAGAATTTATTTAATTTAGAATTCAATTCTAGAATTGAGAAAAACAAGCATATACTTTAGTATATAATAAAAAATAACTTTATAATCATTAGAATATGAGAAACTAACATGAATAAAACTACATTTCAACTAATGTGCATTTTATACCAAATGATAATAATAACATCAATATCTCAATATGGCGCTCTAATACTGAAAATTGTAAGCTAGTTAAATCACTTCTCTTCAAATAATAGGAAAATATTTGGTTAAACATTGAACAGAAGAATATATCTAAAATATAAGTTCAACAAGAACCACCTTTGGTGTCCAACAAAATGTAAATTATATTTTGATAATTTATTTTGGAAATTTTGAAGCCTTAAATGTTAATGTTCAATGAAAACTCTCATTGCTTCTAACCCAGGTAACATTAGTAAGATGAAGGGCAATCTGACTGTGGCCCTCAATATGCCTAGGACAGGTTTGGTTTATATCTATAGCCTTATATGTTTAGTTTTACTTCCCCTTTCACTCTTAAAGTGCCTGGAATTGACCTAGCTTGCCCTATCAACTGATTATTACTTCTAAACTGATATGAGGGGGCTTGGGAGTGTGGCTTTGTAGTAGAATGCTTGCCTTGCATGCATGAAACCTTGTGTTCCATTCCTGGGTACCACATAAACAGAAGTGGTGCTGTGGCTCAAGTAGTAGAGTGCTATCCCTGAGCAATAGAAGCTCAAGGACAGTGCCCAGGCCCTGAGTTCAAGCCCCAGGAAGGCAAAAAAAAAAAACTAATATGAGGAGCTTCCTTCTGAGTTTCCTGCTTCTGGCTTGAATTGAGGACCCTTTGCCTACAGAAACATACAAGGTGAGCTCCATGCTTTCACCACTATGTTGAGTTTCTCACTCTTATTCAGTCCCAACTTCCTGAATCTTCTTGTGCTCATGTTTTACAATGCCCTTAAAAATGTGTTAGGAAGATATTTACAGTTTCTCTGAAATTGGAATATAATGACAGCCCATAATCTGGGAAAACACTAAAGATTAATGTAAGAGACTAATTTACCAATAATAACCATGACCCATAAGGAATAAATATCACTATGGAGTGCTCCAAAAATTGCTCTAAGCAACAAAAAAAAGATTTGTCTTAACTGGGCACTAATGGCTTAGGTGTGTAATCCTAGTTACTAAGGTAGCTGAGATACAAGGATCATGGTTCCAAAGTCAACCCAGGGAGAAATTATAATCACCAAAAAGGGTCCAGAAGTGGAGCTGAATCTCAAGTGGACACTAGCCTTGAGCAAACAAAGCTTGGGGACAACAACCAGGCCCTGGATTGAAGCCCCAGGACTAGGGGAAAAAAGAATTTGTCTTGTGCCAAGTGACACTGGTAATGTCTCTCACTCAATAATACATACTCAAATACCTAAACCCAAGCTCAATTGACATATGAAACAGAAAATGCTGCAAAACCAGATATGTTTCAAAGCATAAGTCTAAATGTAATGTGAGTTGTGCTGATAGTATGTTTAACAAAAGGATAGCAGGCTCTACTCGAGTTTTGAACACTTATTTTCAGAGAAAAAAACCCTGAAATAATATATCTTAAATACAATTTACTTGTATTTTCACCATTATTACTATGACACTATTCATACATATAAAGGTTACTCATACTCCACTGAAATAAGATCATTTGGCTGGTAGGGAATGAAATCAGAGCTTCATGAATGTGAAGAAAGCATTGTGATTTTATCTAAAAAATACCTTGGAAAAATACCTGATACAATATGACATAAAAAAGAGGACTGAGAGATATATAAATCAGTTTAAAATCTCAACATAAGTACAAGAAAAGTCTGTCAAAACATGAACTGAAGTTAAGCACTGGTGGCTCATGCCTGTACTCCTAGCTATTCAGGAGGCTGAGATCCAAGAATCATGGTTCACAGCCAGCCCAGGCAGAAAGTCCCCCGAGACTCTTCTCCAGTTAACCACACAAAAACTGCAAGTGGAGCTGTGGTTCAAAGTCGTAGGATGCTAGCCTTGAGCAAAAGAGCTCAGAAACAGTACCTAGGCCCAGAGTATAAGACCCACAAACCAAAAGAAAAAAGAATTGAAAAACACAGCATGTATAACTTAAATATACAATGCTCAAAGGACCAACTTGAAAGCCACAGACTATAAGCAAGAAAACAAGTAAGTGTAACACAAACTGACTTAAAAAGTGCAAGAATTTTGTCTTCTAGAATACCAAAGGAAAAGAAAGTCCTCATCTAAGATGGGGAAAATTTAAGTTCAAAACCATAAATCTAAAGACAAAAACTTTATATTCCAGAATTATGTCACCAAACTGAGAAGATCTAAAAAATTGCTTTATGAAGGAAGCCTATCAGGATTTTCTATAGCAGAATATAAATGTATTATAATTTTCTAAATGTAGCACAGTCAGTCAACATATTCTCATAATCTATATTGTCAAATACTTAGGAATATATATATATATATATGGTTTTGAGGGATCTATTTATAACTTTTTTGAGAAAACTAGGGTATTATATGGAGAAATTATTTCCTAAGCCTCACCAGAAATCAGAGAAGAAATACTAAGTGATGCCAAACAATCTTATTTGAAAAAAATCTCAATCCAAAGAAATATAGAGAAAGTAAAGAGGTTATAATCAGCAATAGAATACTGCCAGGCACCAGCAATTCATCCCTGTATACTAACTACTCAGGAGGCTGAGATCTGAGGCTCACAGATCAAAGCCAGCCTAGGCAGTAAAGTCCATGAGACTCATCTCCAATTAACCACCAAAAATCCAGAAATAGAGATGTGGCTCAGGTGGTAGAGGACTTAGATTTGGAGGGGGAGAAGCTCAGAAACAGTGCTCAGGCCTGAGATCTAGCCCTAGGTCCAAACCAAAAATATTGTCAAATTCTGGAATAAGTGATACAGGTATTTTGATATTTTCAGAATGAGTTACCCAACATTATTTTTCAAAACCCTACTCATCTTCAAGTGTTATGGCAGATCAGCCGTACAACCCAAAGCCACTGGTCAAAGGTCCTAACGTTAATTGAACCGGAAAATGGATTGTCCTTGATCAACAATTTGCCATAATTAACAGTAGGAAAGATAAGATAAATTATTCAAATCCAATGCTAATTGAAACGTTGATTGCTATTTGATAATTTCTGCAAAAATGAAAACACTAAACATATTACAGGAAATAATAAATATCTTTACAAGAAAAGATGTAAATAAACAAGACACTAGACACCTACCTTCCCAGAGGAGTCCAAAAACGTAGATGGCTCTCCCACCCCATCTGCAGATCCAGGACAGGGTGGAAGGCTGGGGCTGAAGGCCATGAGGTCGGTCTTGGGCGGGCCCTC